TATTCTCTCCATGCAAGGATTAGGAGGGTCGATTTTTGTTCCAAGCTTATGCCATTATTTATTCCAGGTGCTGGTAAACATTACAAATGGATATCACAATTGGATTTTGAATCAATACCTTTAGACCCTGAACCATATGTTTTAACAAGAAGCTGGCTTTTCCTTACAGTGATCACAAAAAGCTGCTAGTTTCTTGAAGATATATTAGAGTTAGAAAACATAAATATAAGCATACAAAGCATTGAGAGGTTTGCAAAATACCATTATAGTTCATTTTTCTGGAAGATTTCCTAAAGTCAGCTATAATAATTTTTGGTATGCTTTGTTTACTATGCTGTTGGCTACAGTAAAACAATTTTTAATTTATATATATAAGCATGATAGAAAAAAGAATTGATACTGTTGGGTTGTGGCGCTGGAGAAGAGTATTGAACATACTGTGGACTCCCAAGAAACAAACAAGTCTGTCCTGTAGAGGGAGAAGCCAAGTTGCTCTGAGGAGGCAACGATTTTAAAGCTCTGTCCCACATAATTTGATCATTTTGCCAGGAAGGACCAGTCCTTGGAGAAGGACATCATACCTGGATGGGTTATGGGCTTTATGAGCTTGACTGTTTTAAGGCAGAATAGGAAAAACAACTACCTTCCTTACCATATATTAGCTTTTCAACTGAGAATACTGAATGCTTCCTAGTCAAACCATGAGCATCTGTGAGTTTATCATTAATTACATTCTTAAACCAGGTTTTCCAAACATCTTGTATTGTAATGATACATTCTTTAAAGCTCGTATTTTGAGAATCAGTTAGATTTGTATATCTGGATTATGATAACTAATATTTACTGTGATTTTGTCATTCCTGTGTATAATTAGTGTTTTGGTTTGTTGTTTTTTTTCTCTTCTGAGTAATGATTTAAAGGAAAGTAGTGTTCCCCTTTGAGGGGGACTTCATATTTATTATAAACACATTAAAGCAGCACTCTTATGTTGACACACCCAAGTAAATGTCTTTCTTTTTCTAGAACTCTGTGATAGTGATTATAATATTTTTATTCTAGATATTACTGTGTAATTCCAGCACAAAGCTGCAGTGCTCTCATGCTATAACCAATTAGCAATGCTATTAATTTTGTAAAAAATTTTATTTTACAAGTGGGGTGTTTTGTGGCCAATGGGGCAAACAGCAGCCACCTTTTATTTTTTCTTCCAGGATTTAGTAGAGACCTACTATTTCAATTTAATCAGATCTCCCTCATCAGATGAAGACCTGTATGTTTATGTGCATCTGAATGAATGAACTTCCTGTATTACTAGGAAGCTTTGGTGGCCTTGTGGTAAGGAACTGCACTGCCAACACAAGAGCATATGTTTCAAACCCACTGTTTGCTCCACAAGAGAGTGATGGGCAACCTCCCATGTGATTTACAGCCTCTGAGAACCCTCTGGAGGGTCACCTCTGAGAATGTTACAACAGTTTCCAAAGCTGTTTTCCTCCCAACGATTTCTTTTTCATTTAATAAAAAATGTTTTCCATTACTTAAAACATACTCTCAACAAAGTACTTGAGCGGAAAAGAATCCCATACTTAGTGTTGAAGAAAAGAATCATTTTAGTCTTTCCCCCTTCATTTCAGCCCCAAATGAACCTTTCATACTGTAGTTGTGGTAAGGTACCATATTCTTGGCAGTCATGGCCTTGACAAAGAGATTTACCTGTTACCATAATTTGCCTTGAAAAATGAAAATAATGAGAGTGTTTCAAAAAGAATGCTTTCACATTACTATTCTTCTTCTTCCCCATCTCCCCTCACCTCTTTTCCTAGAAATTTAGCTTTAGGGGGAAACTCAAACTATCCCTTCATAGTTACTTATACATTCTGAGTTTTTCCCTGACATGTGTAAAAGATATAGGGACATTTTATTGTTTTCTTTTTCACTCAGAATGAAAATTTGAGAACTGAAATAAACATCTCAAAACTGTGTGACTCTGATGAAGTGTATTGTGATACATATGCCACAGATCTCTTCAGTATGAGGTGATGAATGGTATCGAGCTGCTTGACTTTATAGAAGTTTGGAGTTTGTTGCATGTGTTTGTATGCATTTGTTGTGGTACTTGTTGAGAATTTGTGTTTTCAGAAAATTGGAATTTTGTGTTATAAATGAAAAGAAAATAGAATTCTTTTAAAGCCATTTTTGAAATTGCTTTTTTTTTCCTGAATGAGGAGTAAGCTATGGTAGCCTACTGATGAGGAGTTATACTTCCAACCCTAAGGCACTTGGTTCAAATCCACCAGCTGCTCTGTAAGAGCAGTCTCCTCTTGTGTGATTAAGCTGCCTCTGAAAACCTGCTGGTGAGTTGACTATGGGTTCCAATTTGATGCAACATAACACAAACATAGAAATGACTTTGTTATAGTCATAGAGGTATAGATTTTAGAATTTGATTTGTTAGGAGTGAAGTCCTATAACAAGCATATCTATGAAGCATTGCATAATTGTAACTTTTAAGTTTTGAGTTCTTTAACAAATGCTTAGTTTTCTTTTTCGATAAGGTTTAGGAGGTAACGGAATATGAATTGTGACTCTATTATGGAAACATGGATTTTCTCTCTCAGTGGCATTTTGATTAAAAATAAGTATAATTATTTGCTCTGAATATCTTATTTATTTGAATGTAGCAAAATTGCTTCATTCAATGTTCACTGTTAGATGTCTATTCAGAGTGCTCAAATCATCATTTTTGTAAGACATATATAGCTTAAACTGGGATTCTTAGACTTAAGACTTATTTGTAGTAGTTTTCATGCAGATGGGTTGAAAAGAAACACAGATGAGGTACCATAGTAAGTTCTTGCTGACCTATACAATACCTGTATCATAATAGGGCATATTTCAACTCCTATATTTTTGACAAATAGCCTTGCTTTAAAAAGCTCTGTCCATTGTGCTGAACCTTCTCATGAAGTATGAGCATGTCTTGCTGATAAATTCTAATGTCAGCTTTTGTGCGATAGTGATTTATCAGGTTGTAAAATTTGTGTTCAGGAAACATATTGAATTAGCAAGTTCTGTATTTTAAGTGTGTTAAAATTAACACAATATGCCCTTTTGTTTTACAGAGTTCATAACAACTATTGCATAAATATTGTCATAAATAGCTAAAGTTTACTTAAAAACGGACGTTATAAAAAAGCAGATTCTCTATAGTAAGAGATAAATGAGTATAATGAAAGTAATGGAAATATTTACAAGTCAGACACGAATGCAATAAGCTGTCAGAAAAGCTAAATACTTGATTATAAACTGGCGCAGGAGCAATTAACAGGGAAACCTTATAGTTTTTGTAGAACAAAGTAATCTGCTTTTAAAAATGATGGCTGATTATTTTATATGATTTTTTTTACTATTTCAGAAGATTTCTTTTTCAATAAAGTGCATTCATGTTAAGACGTTAGGCATATGTTTGTAAGTACAGCAGAATACCTAAAGATCATAGTCTTGTTTTCCCAATGATGGCTTTATATTTATTATATAAATATACTCTAAAATATATATAAAAATAAATATATACTAATAATATTGATTTGTTATTCCCGCTGTCTCATTTGTTTTAAGCTGTAGTTCTTAATTCACTCAATACTTTTAAATAATAGTAATATTAATATATAATACTTTTAAAAATAATATTATTGTTATTTCAGTTAAGTGCAATGAATCCCAGTTGTTTCAGCAAGTAAATAATTTCTACTGACTTATGCTAACTAAATCATAAAAACATTTTTCCTTTAGTTTATAAAACTGTTGCCTTAATTTCTATTGAATTCTGGAAATATCAGATTTATATCATTTTTATATTAAAGTGATATAGTATAAAAAAGGTAGCACCAAAAGTTGAACCTGGTGACGTTTTCTTACTATTGATCCAATATATTTTAAAATTAAATTCTGAAGTCAGACTTTTGAGTAGGGTTGGATTTTCTTGCTATATTTCCAACAAAGCAAAGTCTTAAGCTACTTATTTATTGTTATAGTGAAACTCATTAAATATTTAGCATCACAGAAGGATTTAAAAATTATCCCTAGATTGTGGATCCTACAGATACTGGGGAATATTTTCTACAAATCAAGTAATCTTGAAACTGAGCAACTCTTAATTATTAAGGTAACGGTTTCAGTTGCTTAGATGTGAAATTTGTGTTATCTGAACCTGATAATGAAAAGTCCTCCAAAACCTGCTTGTTAAGGGAAGATCTTTATATAAATGTATAATCAATCTCCTAAAGTTTTCGTTCAGCCAGTAAAAGGTTAAGTGCAATATTATTCACATTTAATATTCATACAGTGCTTTCTAAAACCTATTTGTTGAGCATTCCAGAGGTGTAGATAACAAAACCCAATAAGTGTCTCAGTCTTAGTATGGCAAACTTTATTACAAAAAACTTTTTAAAAACGGTGTCATTTAAATGATACCTGGTCAGATGATGTTTCCCAGAAAGTGTTCTTTATTTAGAAACAAAAACAAGACAAAAGCAATTGATTTTAATCCAAAATGTATTTTTTCTTTATAAAAGAGTTCCACATACTCACTGTGTCTACTCTACAGAATTTGTCCATTTGATTACACCACGTGTCAATTCAAGTTTATGTGGTCACTGCAAAAACTCGTGGCTAATATGTGTAATACAACACAGGAGGAGGTATTGCTCAGTTCAACTACTCTTACATACTTAAAAAAAATACAGAAATGCTTCTCGTCCACTTTAACTGTATTCCAGACATAAAAGTTACATGAAAGTTCTAGAAAATGAAGTTCTTGTATTTGGTTGCCACAGTACCCTTTGAAGTCGATTGATTAAAATACTGAACTTACACATACTTTGCATTGAACAGGAGCAGCACTGGTGAAGCGGCCCCTTCATTTTAGAACATCACAGGTCTTTGCTTTTAACTTAGAACTACCATCTTGAGCTTTCCTTGGAAGCAGATGTCGCTGGATCTTAGGATAGATTTGTTGGCACGCCTATAACAGTTGCTTTTACTTCCAGTGCGGAAGTTTTTTCTTTGCCTGCATCCCAGAGGTTGATTAGAGGAGGGTAGAACTCGCTGAATGCCAAGGTTGGTTTCTGTAAATAATTTGTCATATAGATACTTCCATCCTCACTACTGATATCTTGAATGGCCCAGTTGACAAGACATATCACACCAATAATCCCCAGGAAGCCACACAGGCAGGCGATGAATGCTGCAGTGGTGCTCTTCTCTGACTTCTTGTTTTCGAGGTCCAAACCTCTGGTGGTGACGTTGACACATTGTTTCCTGCTTTTCTGGTAGATGGTTGGAATGTCAATGCAAATTCTGTACTCAGTTGATGGATTCAGACGAGTAAGATTATACAGCTTGACATCAGATGGGATCCGAGCACTTTGGGCAGCATGAGAGTTTTCAGACTTGACAAAGGCTGTCCACTTCACACTGGATTTGAGAATTTTAGAACTTGCTTTCCAAGCCACCAGAACAGAATTGGCCTGAACGTCTTTTATTTTAATGTTCAAAGACCCATTTTTATCCTGGGGGAAAGAACCATCCACTTTGATCATTATAGACTTCAAGTCAGCACCAACCAGATTGGTTGCTATACAAGTGTATAATCCCCCCTCTTTGGAGGTGATCCCGCTTATCTCTAAAGTGCCTTCAGCATGGACATAAAACTTATCTGTCAGAGTGTTAGGCAGGAGTTTTTGGCCAGACGGTGTGATCCAGTAGATTTCAGGCTGGGGCTCTGCCGTGGCCCTGCAGTGTAAGGAGATGTAGCTCCCAGCTTCTAGATCCATCGTGGGGGGGAAGCTCTCGGGAGCTATGAGAGGGAGGCAGATTTCCATCATTTCCCGGAAATGCACTTGTCGAACATTCTGACCCTGGAACTCAGGGGGGTCCACACAGAACAGGGAGTCCGGCTCCATGAACCGAATGTTGGTTTTGTTCATGTTAATCCAGCGTATGACACAGTCACAGCGGATGGGATTGCCATGGATGCTGATTTCCTTGAGGTTGGGCAGAGACTCGACGGTCCCCTGGTACAGGGCACTGAGGGCGTTGCTGTTAAGCATGAGAGACTCGAGCTTGGGCAGTCTGAAAAATGCATTTGGATGGATGTAAGACAATCTGGGGTTGTTAGTGGCCTCGATTTTCCTTAAATCGGGCAGGTTATCCACTGCCAGGCTGTCGATGGAAATCAGGTCAGGCATGTTATTTATCCCTAGTTCCTTCAAATGGAGCATATTGCTGAAATCACCTCTCCGTATCCTGTGGATGGGATTTTTATTTAGATCCAGAAATTTGAGGTTGATAACTTTTTGAAGCGCAACATGGGGTACTTTCATAAGCCGGTTGTCGTAAAAAGAGATGCTCTCCAAGTTTTCCAGCCCCACCAAGGCATTATCTGGTATTTCCGTAAGGTTGATGCCAGCTATCACCAGGCTGCGAAGGTTGATAAGCGGCTTAAAGTTCATGTCTTTGATTCGGATGATTGGATTGTCCCCAATCATCAGGATCTCCAAATTGGGCAGTGCGTCGAACCACTCGCTGCTGATCATCTGCAATCTATTTGAATTGAGATGAAGTCGAAGAAGATTATGGAGGCCAATAAAAGCTCCAGGTGAAATGGTAGAAAGCAGGTTGTGATTAATATAGAGCTCTTGTAAATTGCTCAACCCAGACAGACATTTTTCAGGCAGCTCCGTCAGCTTGTTCTCTTCTAGGTACACGGAAAGAAGCTGTGGCATCTTTTTTACGTTAATATGAGTGACTGAGGAAAAATTGTTTTGCGATAAGTCCAGACCAGTAAGGTTTACCGGAAAGTCTATGGAATATTCAATTTTTGCAATATTGTTAGTCTGTAGGAGGAGAATCTGTGTGTCAGCAGGCAATTTGGCTGGGAATTTTAAAAGACCTAAGTCATTACAATCCACGGTCGAGGCCTCCATGTAAAGGGACCTGGGTGTAAACCAAGGTCTGATTTCACACGTACATAACTGTGGGCAATCCACTCTTTTATCAACAGCTTGTACTAACGTCGTGAAGGCTAGGCCAAGCAGCACATGGATTTGGAGTGGTGTGTCCTTCATCTTAGCTTCCTTCTTCAAAAATGTAACGGGCCCTTGAGGATTCCACAGTCACTGCTAGTGAGTTCCGAAAGATCTGATGGATTAGGAAAGCACTTGCATGTGTCGAATGATAAATGCCATGGAACCACAGAGTTTGTCTTCATGGAAATAAGTGTCAGTGCCCCAAGTGCATTGTCCAAAAAGTTCATGCATATTGGAGGAAAGCCGGTCACTATCTTCTTGGTGATACAATATTGATAGCTTTTGTGAAGATGACGTATGTATAGATGGTCCCAGAAGACTGAGTAATTCATTTATTTAGGAGGATAATAGTCAAATCCCATACTTGTTCAGTACTTGCAGGAATGGCAACATGATGCTAAATGTCATAAAAGGGAAAAGAAAAAAAAAGGAGAATTAGAAGACAGGAAGAAAAATACTGAAGTTAATATCTATTAACTAATTATAACTATTACACGTAGAAATAATGTGCCTGGAGTTTAGTTATTTTAATATGTTTTTGATGACTTTATCACTGTTTTGACTGTCCCTTATAATTAGCTGTCCCAATTATTAGACAGACTGATAAATCTCATATTTTGAAATTTTATTAAACATGTGAAATATGCTTGCACAGTTTTTCACATCAAATTGTCCCTGTTTATGCATTTTGAGTGCTGTATTTTTTCCTGTTCATACACAATTAGTAATTAGGGGGGGGACCTCTCAACCTTGTAATGATGATGGATCCCCCTACTAGTGACATGAGAGAGTACAAACACAAGTACAGTGCTGAGAAATCGGTTCCAATTCATAGAGCCCCTCCATTGGGTTTCCAAAGCAATATATCTTTATAGGAGACTCTCCACCCCTCTCCTGCTGAGTAATTGGTAGATTTGAACTACTGAACTTTTGCTTTATGGCCTGATATCACTATGTGCTGTGCCATAAGGGCTCCTTAAAAAGAAATGATATTGTTCAATGTCCATCAAATCAAATGAAGTTAGAATCCCTAAACTCAATGCCCATGAGTTGATTCTGACTCTCGGTGATTCTTCAGGGCTGAGTAATGCTCATTATTGGGATTTCAAGGCTTTAATCTTTATGGAAATGAACTGCCACATCTTCATCCTAAAGACTGTCTGGTGGGTCCAAACTACTGGCCTATTTAGTGGTGAACAGTTGAGTGTTTTACCACTGCACCATCAGAACCTCTTCCTCAGGCACCGAGGACACAGGCTTTGGAAGCACCATTATAAATATTGGTGATAGAAGGAAGAAGTAGTATTAATTTAGCTGACATTCCAATTTCAATCATACAACTGTCCAAAGTCTATGGCATTTTGAGTTTAAAGTATGTGGAAGAAATAAAGTATACCTTGTCGTGGATATACCTTTATATTATTATTCCTGACAGAATGTCACTTTAACATATGACTGTGTTGTTTTGTTTGTTTTTTTTCCTGTCAAGTCAACATTCTTTTAGTAACTAACGATGGAAGAGAAACTTGAGTGTATCAGCAAAATAGACACGTAGCTATCTCTCTTTTAAAGGGATCCTCGGGTCATTATCACAGAAAAATAAACAATTCCAAAAGCAAGGTGCAAGTCTGATACACGCTCTGTTTGAAAAGACCTCACTCCTGTAAGTTCTACACCCTGTAAGTAAGTTTAGACTGCTGACGGGTTCACTCACTCACTCAACGAGGTCTCAGTGGACTGTTCCGTCCAAGGTTTTCACCTGAATAGTCAGCGTGCACACGTTCTTGCTCCTCTCCTCCCCTCTGCCCGGTATTGACATGCATGCTGGCACTGTTGACTCACTCTAAGCGAAGGTGGTTGCTTCACTGACAGGTAAATGTACTTGGAGAGATGGTCCCTACAGTGACAGACTTGCTCCCTTTTAAGTAAAAGTGGTGGGTGAGGAGAGAATCTTCTAGGTTTTAAAAAATGTGGGACATTTGCAGTTCGAAATCACGTCTGATTTGCCTTACTCTTTATTCTCTACCTAACCGAACAGTAACCTCCCAGAGAATAAGAGGCCTTTCTGACTGTGTGTCCCCAGCTTCCAACCATGGTGATTAGAATGTAATAGGGGCTCCCGAAGGCATTTAAATGAAAGTACAAATTAATTTTACAAAGTAATTTATGTATGCTTTCTTTTACATATAATTACACAGTATGGTCTGCCTAATTTTCCAATTTCAGTAAGTTTGACTGCTTTAGCTTACATAAATCGTTTACTTACATAGATTAATGTGTTACATATATTACTAAAATCCAAACACTAAATTTAAAAATACTATAAAGAAGGTATTAAGAGTCTAGTCAGTCTACTTTTGTATTGTGGGGAGGATTTCTTCATTTCTTTGGTCAACATTTTTTTTTAGAACCTGTTAACAGCTAGTTAATGAGTAGAAGGTTAAAAAAAGATTTAGGCATGGTCACTTCCCTTAGCAATCTTTCCCTTTGAAAGTGGAAACAGCAGTAAACAAATAGTCACAATTCAGTATATGCCATGACATGATGGTATTGAGGAGGGGGCTCCTGAATAAATCTGACATAGAAGTGTTCTGCAGATGAAGAAAAAAGTGATACAAAGTACCGAACACATTTCACCAAGATGCCAGTAAAGCAGCTGACAACTGAAAAAGTCTAACTCTGGACAATTAGTTATGCCCACTTTCTTTCGTAGAGCAAAGCGAATCCCCATATCTTCTTTTAGTTCACTCTTTGATGTCATAGATGCCAAATCATAGGGACCCCACGTGATAGAGCAGAACTTCCCTTAGAGGGATGTCAACATTATAAGCTCTGTTAGCCAAAGAGGTTATGTGTTGGGCTGCTAGTTATCAGGTCACAGTTCAAGCCCACATGGAGCTCCATCAGAGAGAGCTAAGGCAGCCCCCTCCACTTACAGCTTCAGAAGCTGACTCGAGGGCAGCCAGAAACAGGAAGTGACTCGACAGCAATGGATTTGGGTTGCTTTTAATCTTTGCAGAAGACACCCAGCTCCTTCTCTTGTCAACTCACTCCCTTGATGGTCTCTAACTTCCAAGCTTTCAAATAGCAACTAATCACTCAAATGATGCATCATCAGGGATTTTTTAGGTTATCCAAATAATGATGTTACTGATGAAATATTCTTCAGAGGAGGGCAGAGACAACGCCTAACAACAACAACTTGACCATAACATTGCTATGAGTCACAGTTAACTTGATGGCACATAACAACAATTTGGTTTTAAATTATTGCATTTTGTTTTAGAAAAATAATTTACATTTAATTGGAAACTCTTTTCTGTTCTCATTTGATTATTTAGCCATTTGATACAGACTTTTGCATTTTGATCCAGATTTATTCTAGAAGCTTTTGACAATAAGAAGGGCTCTTTTAATTATGCACACCTTAGCATTTATTTCCTATTCTGTAAAGAAGGCATTTTCAGTAAAGAAGGTTGGTAGAGAACACAGGTTAGCATTTCTGTGTTGTAACATTGATTTTTTTTGTCCTATCTGTAGAAATTATTATGATCCTTTCACTAATGGACTATCTGGCATGGACTATTTGTAAGACAGTGAAAGAATAATAATAATATCTCTTAATGTAGTTTCCAAGGCCCCTTTCCCCCCTTTGTTTACTTGGTGTTGACAATGACTTGTGAGAATGCTTGGGTGGGTACCTGAATGCACTGAGAGTGTTAAGGGTTTGAGCCACACTAACTAAACATACAAGAGACTAATACATAGAAGAACCAAGATACTAAGTTCTTACAATGAGAAATTCGGCTGTCGAAAGAACTCTGATCTGTCAATGCTTTTACCCTATTTCAAAAAAACTTATTTGGAAATACAAATTGTGAATTTCCAAGTTACATACAAATATCCAATCAAAGGCAAGGGAGTCGGCCAGAGCTTTGAATTATGGTTTTGTTGTTGCTGTTGTGATGTCCTTTCGGATTGATTCTGACTCTAAACAGGGCATTTTATAACAGAATACCCCCAGCCCTATGCCGTCCTCACAGTCTTTGCTATGTTTGAACCCCTGTTGTAGCCGCTGTGTTCTTGTGAGCCTTCCACTTTTTCACTGACCTTCCACTTCATCAAACATTACATTTTTCTCTATCAAAAATGATAGTCATATGCATGTGCATTAAGGAAGTAAATGTTATCATGGGAATTTGAACACTTGGGTCTCTTGGCTTTGGCTAAGACACTGAGATCCTTGCACACCCATGTTTATCACAGCTTTGTTCACAACAGCAAGGAGTTGGAAACAACCCAAGTGCCCATCAACAAACGAACGGCTAGAGAAGGTGTGGTATTTTCACACAATGGAATACTACGATGCATTGAAAAACAAGGAACTCATGCAATATTATTAAAAATGGGACATGGTGAGTGAAGTATCTTAGTCACAAAAGGACAAATACTGCATGGTGCCACTGTTGTAAAACAGGACTGACATCAGGGTTGGGGAGAGACTGAGAAAGATGAGATAAATAATCTATACTGCCTTGAAACAGCTGAGGGAGAAAACTATTTAAAAGGGATATGTGATTAGGTATTATTATCATGACAGGAGTCCAGAACGAAGGCTGCATAGTGGAGTGGACCTGGGGGGAGGGATTGTAAAACAATGAAAGAATTTTTCTTTTACTTTTCAAAGACAAGAGTGTACTGGGGGGTGGGAGGGGAGGACAGGGAGAAAAGTGCAACAGTGAATGAATGGAAATCCAAAGTCTCTGTAAATTTTCATTAAAATTAATAGTAATAATAAGAAAACATTAAAAAGAGGAAAGAAAGAACAGGAGGTAATAAATGATGTATCAACAGAAAAAAGAAAAAAAAAAGACACTGAGATCCTGTATCTTTCTGCTAGGAAACTTTCCCTAAACTCATTTATGAGCTACGTTGTTTTCCTAACATCTCACCTGTGTTTTAGTTACCTTGCTTGCACTTATTTTTGTCTTTCCTAGTATTGAGTAAAAACCGTGTTCAACTTACATTTAATGTGGATATTTTAGTCCCTTTCATTGGCTGATTAATATCTAGCCCATTACTTTAAATGAAGAAGCCATTAAGTAAAAGTTTCCTAATTGATATTCACAAATGTATCTCCAATTTATGTTGGATGGTAGCATATGGAATAACAAACTATGCTTTGTTTTTGTTGTTTTTTCCTGCAGTAACTGGCAGTAATTGACAGAGCCAGAAAAGAATGAAAGGGGGGAGATAAGCCTTTTCATTTATAAAGTGTTTACGCCTATTGTCTGATGATTATAAAGGTAGAAATTTTACAGTTAAATGGTAGAATGTCCACTGGCAAGACCGAAAACGGTCACTTTTACAGGCACCAATTTAAAAGCATAGCTG